AGTTCACCCGGAGCATTTCATCTGTATAACCCCTAGTGTCAACCCGGTCAGAGAACCTCCGACCTGCAGCCCCTGAGTTTCTTGGTCGTTTTTTCACACTATCGCACGTACCGAGATCGTGCTCGCTATCCATATACTGGCCGCATTTTGAGCACATGGGCCTAGGAGGTGACTGTTGTAGTGGCCGTCCTTTCTGTGGTGCAGCAGAATGCTTTTTCTGTAGAGTGTTGGACTTCTTCTCTGCGTAAATACAACACACCTTGCAACGATTCTCGGCCGAACATATAACCGTGCCCCTCGTCTTAACGGGCTCGTAGTGCCAAAAGGCTCCGCTCACATAAAACCTTTTGTGCTCCTCCCACTCCGTCTGCTCAACCTCGTTATCGCGTAAACGGCACAGTCGCCTCTTGCAACCGTCACATAAAACCTTGGGTAGACGGGTATTGGTGAGTTCATCTTTGAAGTCGATCTTGTAGAACCGGGTAGCCAGGGCACACATGGCTTCGCTTGGTGGAGGCGCTTTTGATTGGCCGTTGCGTAGGGTCACTCGGTGAGCACAGAAACGGCAGACACGGTAGAGTCTATCGTTATGGAACGAGTCGGTTAAGATGGAGACCTCTTTCGGGATTTGGAGCCACGTAGACGCAGGCATGTAGATTCTGGCGAGTGCCCAGTGGGGATAGGGCAGGTCCGGGTGAAAAAACTAGTGCGACACAGAGTGGATCCGTCTGCGCGATGGTTATTATGCACTGCTCAATCTACGTGTGCTTTGCGTACATGCGATACTGCCGTTATAGATGTGAGGTGTGGGAGAGTACTTCAGCACGCAGTGCGCGCTACAGCCATCATCGTAAGTGGTGCAATAATTCAGTTCTTATGTGGGTTACAACTTAGATATCTATATATTATCACTCCCCACGGTATGCTCTATCGAATGATACTAAAAAATTTGCCGGGCATTTATTCCCGAAAAATCACCCCCTTCAGACACCTGTGGGAAGTGGCTCATTTATGAGACAATCTCCGGTCTCATCGATCATAAGGTCAAGAAGATGCACATGCGTTCTACTGGCCATATGTTGCAATGCAGATGTTCTCTTGAAGGACTAGGCGAACGCAAGATTCAGATGAGCTGCTGACGATAGGGTATATACAGCTCGAATAACTGTTGTACAGCTATAAAGTCTGTTAAGGTGTCAGCTATAGATTATACAAAGAAGAGCAAGAGAGCAAGATATCAAGTCAACTATGAATACTTATCAACACTCCCCCGCCGCAGAAGTGACTATCTTCAAGTTACCAATATATTCATAGGACAGAGAAGGAGAGTTAATAGGAGAAATAGCAGCCATAGCTCCTTTAATAGCACGGACCACGTAGACTTGCTCAACAAGCCATTTCTGGCTGAGCTTAGATCTACCAAAGTTGTATCGGAGAACATGGTCCCCAACAGATAAGGCAGAAAAGTCAGAACGGGCAGCAGAAGTATCAGCAAAGGTAGATCGAGCACGAAGAGTTGAGTCCACATTTTCGGCGGAAATCTGGGCCCACTTACAATCAGAGGAAATTCTCAAACTGACATCGTGTAGCAACTTATCAGCATCAGCTCGATCAGGCATTCGGAGAGGAATGAAATGATCCAAGCTATCATTAGCCTGCTTCGATAGGACCCGACTGGTAGATATAGCTGGGGGTAGACAACGACCGTGAACGAAATGCAGGTCGCTACTGAAGGAGCTGGAGGATGGAGAAGAGCGAACAATATTATTCACAATATAGCATACCCTAGCCATCAAGATTGTCCAGTGAATCTTATTGCCAGTCTGCTGGATGAGACATCTTAACATAAAATTCACCAATCTGTGGCGGGATTCATGCCAGCCACTCAATCGACTAGCGTGTCCCGGGCTCCGTGCCCACCTAATGCCAAGGGCCTTGCTCCATGCCACTGCAGCAGTACTTGTAAAGCGAGCGTCTGAATCGGAGAGCAAACCCAGAGGGTAACCATGAGCTAGGAAAATGCCCTCTAAAGCAATAAGGGTTAAATGGGTAGGAGCGTTGTCGGGAACAATAGCGTAGGTAACATAACCAGTTAAAGCGTCGACCACCAACAAAGACATCAATGAATCATAATGAGGAGCGCGGAACTCATCTTGGCGGAAAGGACCGATAAGGTCGATTCCTAAGAGTTCCCAGGGCTGAGCGGCCTTGGTAAGCTGAGAACCGAGAGTATGATTAACGGTTCGAGACTGCCGTTGCGCTTGACAAATGACACAGCGCTTTTGGGCCTTCAAGTACTCTGAGAGAGGACCAGCATCGAAGTCCGACTTGATACTCCTATAGATCTTATAGGCGCCCAAATGAATAAAGTACAAGTGAAGTCTATCACATACTTCTCGTCTCAACTCACGAGGTACAACTAGACCACGGGTAACAGAATTGATAACATAACCATCATTAGATCTGCCGGATGGACCAACGACCACGGAGTACTTTCGAAGGGTCCTACTATCCGGTTTCGAATTAAGAGAAGGGCAGAGAAGACTCCTCAATTCAGGGTCGTCCTTCTGCTTAAGACAGACGTAATCTTTCAATGCTTTAATGGTATCAGAATCGTCATCAACAACAACCGATAATGGTAAGGCCGGTAAGTCGTCACTTAATTTATTGTCGTCCACACAGGAAAGACGGCCACGAGCACAGCTGACTGCCTCTATCAACAGTGGGTCGTCTTGGGGGAGGTACTTCAAGGTTAGACCCCTCGAATAATAATCACTGGGGTTTCTCTTACCAGGTAGATGGAATACCTTCCCACCACGCGGAACCAAGAGCTGGGAGATCTTGAACAGAGTCCGCAACTCCCACGCAGCAGGTGCAGATGATTTCCAGCCAGATCGAAAGACATCGTAGTCCTTCGACTGAGAGAAAAGCTTGAAGGCTTTGACCAACCGGTGGTAGTTGGCCTCATTATCGGTGTACAGTTCCGGTGTAGGCACAGGCAAGTTAACAGACTCCATCGCACGAGTGGTTTCAGAATACAAACAAGCCACTTCTAAGCACGATGTTAGCTCTTTACGAACTATAGACCATGGCAGCTTAACTGCCTGAATTAAATGTGCGCTACAGCGGACTAGATTAAAATCGGAATCACATATAATAGTACCGATGCCAAACCCAGAGGCATCACAAAATAAGTAGAATGTGGAATCCGCAGCCAGCTTTAGTACTCGAGGGATAGGTAGAGAATTGTCGAAGTCCATCATAGTAGCCTGTAGTGTCTTGAATGCTTCAACACCAATGAACTCGTCTAAATCAGACACCGGATCTTTCTCCAGTTCACGCCTCAAGATAAGACGCATACGGAGTAGCAAATTACTTTGGAATCCCAGCGGATCGTAGCATTGAGCAATTAAGCTCATAACATCTCTGCGTGTAAGAAGGACCTTGTCCTCGGATAGGGCCAAGACACAAGGTGGGAAGTTAGGGCCTTCACAATCGGAAAGCGTGTCGGTGGGGTTCCATCTCAAGCCGAGTACCTTACAAGGATGCTCGGTGGGGACTCCAATACGACACTTCTTAGGCTGACAACGGAAGCCGTATTTACGGCACACAGAGAGAAGAATTGTAACAGCCTCTAACAGCAACTTCGGACATGAACAAGTAACGATCAAGTCATCCATGTAACCAGAATAAACAACGAAGGCCTTACTTCCGAACTTAGCAAAGAAAGTAGCTTGAGCTTCTCGACAGATGAAGGATACAGCATGCTGCAAAGCTGCAGCGCTGTGAGGACTCCCCATAGGCGGAGAGATGAGGCGATAAATATCATCGCCCCAGGCGAGGCAAAAAAGGAAAGCTACCTGTGGA